AGCTTAGCCTCACCCCACTGGTCAAAGCCCTCTCCAGTGGACATTACAATGCCCCCAGTGCTATGGGGCAGCAACCTGGATAGGGGCAGAAGGGAGAGCAAGAGCGCAGGAACAGCAGGAGCACACAGCAGGGAAGAAAAGGGTGACCCTGAGTGTTCCTTGTAAAATACAGATTTTTAATTTGATTAAGTGTATAATTTCATTTTACTAATTACCTTGATTTAATATGTTAAAAATTGCCTTCTAAAGGGTGTGACTGAAGTCTTAGCTCTTTATCTGTGCAACCCCATAGGCTTGTGCAAGTAAGAGCACAGTGGATATATAAGGATCACAGTGGTGAAAGCAGGGACTTTCTCAGTGGGTTTCTGCTGACAGAGCCTCAGCTGTGAGACCCACCAGTACTGGGAAATCTGCAAAACTTTCCTTACTGGGAGGCCATGAATGGGCTCTACAGCCCAGAAAAAGGGTGTGGACAGCCAGAGAGACACCAGGCCTGTATCCTTTGGGAGATGCTTGGATCCAGTGCAGCTCCTCAGCAGCCTGGGTTGTCAGTGTCTTTATGGCAGGGATCCACAGCTGTGCCAGTCCTTGTCCCCAGGGAGTCACACTATGTAAGCTGCTCTTTATGGGATCTTCATGAGCATCCTAGGCTTTACTGCTATGGGAGTTGCTGCAGATGCTGAGGGGTGTCAGTTATAGCTAGTGGGGCAATAATAAAGCATAAGATACTGCATCCTCAAAACAATGTCCTGCAGTTCGTTGCTGCAGCTGGCTAATGGGAACAGTAGGAGACACACATAGAAATCATACAGGGGAGACACCTGAGAAGACCCAGTTCTCAGAGCAGAAAGCCTGACAATGCCAGGATTTGTTGGCTGGTAACTTTGTACTTGCATAAATAAGATGAAAACTTTCAGGGTCTGTTTCGCCTTGTTTTATCTCTCTCTTCCTCTTCACATGAAAAATGTTTCTCCACCACTTTTCTAGGCTAAGACGAGTCAGTGGAGGAGCAGGTGCCTGAACATGAAATGTGTACATTAAAACATGAAGAACAGTTGTTAGATGGGACTAATTCATCTTGCATTTGCTGGGGCAGGAGAAGGAATTTGTTACACTGTGAAAGCAGCTTTTGTGGGGTGCAGACTAATGTTTATGGAACTGGAAAAAGCTCATTGGAAAACCTTTTCTTCCCCTTGCCTCCTTCCCTCCGCCCTGCTTCTCCCAAGCACCTGTGACAGCCCTGTGCACATTGGGTGCTCTGGCATTAAAAGCTCATGGTTCACACATAACAAGACGACTTTAAGAGAAGATTTTGGATTTAAAACACCCACAGTTTTCCCATGGCTTGAATTTGGATTTGCCCTAACAAGGAATCAAGAGTTGCCACAGCAGCTGGCTTGTGACTGACATGTTTGTTTTAGACTCCCAACATTTGAATTGTTCTGATTCCTGACACCATTAAGGAACATCTCTGTTCCGGATATGTTGGCTTGCTGGTGAGACTAGGGCTTGTGGGCTATGAGGATGTGACTAGTTAGGCTTAAGAGAGTTTAAAAGAGGGGTGATCTGATCTGACACAACACCCTGCAAACCTATTTCTCAGCCTCTGCTGAGGTCTGCCATTGTTTAAATTAAGCCAGCAACAAAACAGCAGAGTTCGCAAGAAGGAGCTTTGATGGATTTTCAGTATGTCTCTCTCTCTTTCTGAAACTGCCAACCCTTATCTACCATATGTGGAAAAATGCTCATGGGAGGCATCTCCTCTATCTTCTTGATGTCATCCATTTAAGATATGCACCCATCGACTTGTGTGTGACTAATATAACTGAGCAGGAGAAATGTGCTGGGAGATTATTCAGGAATACCACGTTTCCCTGTTTAAGCTTTGGATTGAATCTACATCTTTCATTGTTCCAAGATCAAGATGGTCCCAGAGCCAGGTAGGATTAGAACAGTGTCCTTTTCACTCCTCTGCAGAAGGGAACAAACATCACACAATGGGTGTGTGAAAATGGCATTTGCATTGTCATTTGGAGTTAAATGTTTTTTTATGTACTCTCTCTGTTACATGATCGTTGCTCTACTTACAGCTAATTGCAATTGAAGCATCTACAGTTCTGGTCTCAGAGGGACCCCCAGGTTTTAGAGGCTTACACAGAGCTAAAGCATGTGCTTTGCAAAGACCACTTCCTCCAGGAAACACAGCTGCTGTTGTGCATTTTTGACAGCCCTTTTTTGCCTGGCCTTGGGGCAGCCCTTACTGCTCCCTCTGGTTTTCCTAATATTGCTCTCTGAAGAATTACTTAGAAGATCTCGGGTGAGATGTCCTGTCCCATTTTGGGCAGGAAGGAGCACAGCTTTTCTGGAGTCTTCATTTTGATGCTGCTCTGTTTCTTGCTGCACTCCTGCTTCTTTGAGATGGCAGGTAGGTCTGAGGTGCATGTTTCTCTTTCTTGCTGCTTGGTAGGTCTGGTTTTGCTGCCTTTCCTCTCCATGCAGTGTATCTTCAGGTAGGTGGGAGAAGCTAGTAGGAGAAATCCAGGAGGAAAAATGTTGTGTTTGATCCCCACTGCTTCCTCTTGCTTCCTCTGGGGCTAGCATTCTCCAGTTATTTCTGGAGCTGTGAAACCAGGAACTTTCCCGGTACCCCGCAGCCTCCCCAGTATCTTAAAAAGACTCAGACCCCTGAGTTACGAGTCTGAATGGCTGGTGAGTATGAGCACTGTAGGGACAGCCTGCCTTGCTTTGAAAGCAGATGTGTGCAGTATCTCAGAGATTCTCAGTGCTATGCCAGGCTAGGAGGAGATCTCTGAAGGCTCCCATAGATTTCAAGTAAATGGGCAGGGAGATGTGATTCGAAAGGGAAAAACGTCAGGCTTATTTTTTGGAGCAAACGCCTACTGTTTCTCCTGCCAAATCAGGTTTTGGAGTGGACTTTAGTCAGAGAACTTCAGATTACACTCACTGTAAAAAAGACTGTCCTTAGCCACTTGCAGACCAGCCCTGGTGCAGACCTCGGCTCCTTCATCTTGTAGCCAGGTTCTTGTTCATCCTCTTCAGAAACTGTCTTGTTATCAACAAACTCATTAAAGTTTTCATTCATGATACTGGACTAAGGCTGAAAATATCCTGGTCTCCACAAAAACAAACTGAAAACAAAACATCGTTCCCTCCATCCCTCTTCCAGAAAGAATGCCATGCATCAAGACAGAGTCACTAAGAAACCTCTCATCTGTGCTACTTTACCATACAGCTCCCTGAACTGGACCTGTTCATCCTGCGGAAGAGTGAGCTTTGGAGGACATGACTCTGAGGCTTTGTAGCTACCTTGTAGATCACAGCCTGCAACTTGGAAGCACTCTCTTCAGGGAAAAGAGGAGGTTAAACCAGTACCATTGGTCAGGCCCAGTGCCCAAGTCTCCCCAAGTGAAGAGAAATGAGTCCAGGCAGAGAATGGAGAAGTGTCATCTCCCATATGATGTTTTACTAGGAAAGAAGCAAACTGAAGCCTAATAAGCAGGTGTTTTGGATCCATCTTTGAGGTGTAAACTAATGGCTGAGAGGGGAAGTTAATGTGAAGAGTTGCCAGTGTTTTTGAGAAGTCCTGCCCCTCAGAGTGGCTCTGCCTGAGGCTTTTGATTGCTGACTCTGACTTGTGTGCATCTGGGAGGCTACGCTGTTTGCAGGAAAAAGTCCCTGCAATAACAGGAAAGGATGTCCTATATGATGAGCATGAGGAGGGAAGAATCCCAGCTTTCAGAGACATGAGCCTTTAAGATGTTTGGGAGTAATGGTATTTCATAAAGGCGGATCTGTGAGTAAGTGCTAAGCAGTTATTGTTTCTGGTCTTATAGATGACCCAGGAATGTGATGTTTTTACTGGCACTCAGTGAGACAGCTTTTGGTTGGGAGCTATCCAAGGCTCCTGGCATGGCTTCGACATTCCTGCAGATTTGACACAATGATTTTAACCAAAATCCCACATGCTTGATATAATCACTCAGTGCCTTTAGAAAGGGTTTTATACCTAATATGGACAAAAAGGGCTCTGCTTTTTCAGAGATGTGACGTGTAGTGAGCAGGTTTGGATCCAGAAATAGACTCATCTGTATTCACTTAGCTTTGGTATTTTTTGTGGTCTTTATTGTAGCAGGCAGACACCTGCTGACTGCCCAAGTCTAGTTTGCAATATTCAGATTTAAAAAACACAGCTACCCCTCAGTTTCTCTTGATTAACATCTGTGTGGCATGTAAACGTCAAACACACCATGGGGAAGTTAATCGCTGTATCAGCAGAGTCTAATGATGAGACAAAGATGAAAATATACTGGCTGCCTATGTGGATACAGAGGAGATGATCAGCCACTTTGGCTGAATGTACAAGTGGGCAGAAGTTGATGGAAACAGTGACTGAGCTCCTTTATCAGAGTCATTATTAATGGAGAGGATTCTGTCGCTGTTGTATACCAACCATGTACAGCTGCACAAAGAGACTGTGATGCCAAGTGATTCTTTTAGAGCTACTCTTCACTCCATGCTGCACAAGCACAGCTGGCTTCATGAGCTGCAAGGTAGTCGGCAGCCTTGTCTATTGTCTCAGACTTTCAGCTTTTTGCTGCTGGGGTACTGGGGTTTGCTAGTGTACCTGCAGCATTTCTGTGCTGGGATGGACATAGATAGCTCCTGGGCGAGGCAGTGCTGGGACTTCCCTTTGTTGTATCTTGGGATTACATAGGAAGTCAACAAGCTGCCGCCTTAAAATAACAGCCCCTAGGAAGTGTGTGCCTGCTGATCTGGTGAAATTAGTTGCAACTACACAAAACAGGAAAGCTGCATTGCAGCTTATTAAACACACAGTGGGAAGCTGCTATGCATGGATGTCACTGCTGTCTGTGCGTGTTGTACACCTGCAGGACACAGGCAGACGAGCTCTCTGCTCGAAGGACCTTCCCAGTGAGGATGGTTTTACTCAGGTGCTCAGCATTGACCTAATTCTACTTCTTTTCCAGTAAATAAGCTGAATCTAGCCAGTGGTTGTACCCTTCTTTCATAGACAGTGCCGATACTCTCCAGAGTCCAGTATGCTGAGGGAATACACATCATAGTCATACCTATTTAAACCATTTGCTTCTCTAGGAAATGGCTTCAATAGCATGGTTATAGAGGATGGTTTTTACATGGTGGTTTTATTTTTGGGGGGTGGGTGCTGAGGAGGGATGCCCATCATAGATTCATGCTTGCTACTGTTTAAGAGTTTGGTGTTTATCATGCATTAATCTGAGGAAGTTAACGATTTAGCTCATGTGGCTTGCCTTTTTTTTTAGGTTTATGTGGTTCTTTCTGTAAGTTGAGCTCTCTCTGAACATCATGGAGCGAGTGGAGAACTAAAACCATCATAACTAGTCCTGTAGTTCTCATCTTCCAGCACATGGCCCCAGGGTGGCCCCACTCCTCATACCACACTATGAGGACTATGATAGCACAGGCATGAGTTACAGTCACAGTTAAATGTGCATTTATGGCTGCAAGCTGGAGCAGTACTGGAATACAGCTCCAATGTGCTGTGATTTCCAAAGTGGATAAGCACTATTTACGCTTTTTAAGTTTCCTGTCTTATGGAAGAAACACAATGCTTTTCCAAGAGTAGCTATTTTGATGGAGAAAAGGATAGTGAAAGATGTTGCATGATGGCCAACTGTGTGATCAGAGAGAGAAATGTAGTTGCTTGTGACTCCAAATTAATACGTAATTTAAATCTCCTTTTTACTGTTATCAGCCAAGTGGAAAAGGCCCGCGCCTACCTGAAGTTTACTGTGTCATCAGCCGGCTGGGGTGCTTTGACTTATTTTCCAAGGTAAGCAGAGTTTTAATTTGATTGTTTACTGAGACACATCCACAGTGATGAACCAGATGAGAAGAATTTCTTCCTTTGATGGGAGATAACTCTGTTTTACAGTGCTGTTTTGGATATTCCATCCCTATTGTTGGGTTCATCAAAGAATGCCTTATTACTTCTGTGACTGAGGCCGAACTTGATTCAGAAAACATCTGGGTGTCTGTATGATCTGGCTGACTGAAGGTTTTTCCATTGTTTTCTAAAGCCTTTCTGTGCTGAGTTGTAATTCTTGGCATCCACAGTTTGAATGATGGGCCAGTACCACTTTTACTCCAATACCCTGTGGAATGATGAGGTTAAGAAAAAAGATTATTTGATAAGTGAATTCTATATGCTTAACTCTGTTGACATGATTTTTTTTATCCTAGGAGGCTAGGAAGCATGGATAATCTTTTAATTGTCCTCCACATTAATGAATCCAAAGCTGCATTGTATGCTGTTGGGGTTTACCTAGGTAATACATTTCTTGACACAAGAATTTCGAGACAGTAAGCAAGACATTGCAGCTATACTGGGGGATTGAATAGCTGCAGAAACAGTTAAGTGCCAGTCAGCTCCAGAGCCACAAGGATTCTTCTTTTGTAAGGCAAAAAGTTATTAAAATTAACTATCGAAAACATTTTTGATTGATTAACATTTGAAATATCTCTCCTGCTGCCAAGGCCTCCTCATCCTCTGAGAGCATGTCTTGAAAAACCCAGTGGGTATCTCAGAGTATCATATAGGGTTTGCTGGTCATCTCTGGAAAACTATGATACGTGTAACGTCAAATGTCTGCCTTCCCCTTTTCCAAATTCCATAGTGTTCACAGAGATGTTGTTTTAATTTGCCAGAGATTTTTTCTTCAGATATGGGAAATCTCATAGAACTTACATAGATTTTTTTTTTTTTGGTGTGTGTTCTTTGGTATAGGAATAAAGCTGAAAAGAACATGTAAATCATTGAAGTTAATAAAAAGCATAGTGTATTATTCATACCATCTAATAATCATACACAATGTTATCGCCAAAGCAGGTTTCAAGCTTTTCTAGATAAAACTTTATCTAACACAAATCTTGGGTGAAGAAAAACAATGGGTTGCAATAGTTGCAATTCTGCTTCTGACATCTTTCATAAAGCTCTGAAACAAGGATTTGTAACAGTGTCTCTTAGACAAAATATGTATCTAAACACAGATATCTGTGAGCAAATGGAATGCATTGTTCTGGGAGGATAGCACAGCTCACCAAGCTTGTGGTGTGGAGACATGTCTGAAGCTCTTTCTTTGCTTTTATGCTTTTATCTAATTTTGATAGTGCACTAATTTTCAAAAGAAAACTTGGGAGAGGGGGAAAAAAGGAAAAAACCCAACCTGTCTTCCTTACAACCACGTATCGCCACAGCTGAAGTATGAAGCCAGACAAGGACGGTCACTGTACCAAAATTGCAAATAATCTGCTTTCCCAGTTCATTCTAACTTGAAAAAAGTGTCTTTTTTGGTTTTTTCGCAACCAAAGTGAGCCCGGAGCTGGCAGGTGAGTGTAATTTCACTGGCCTCAGCAGGCCAGTGGCAAGCCTGGTTCTCAGGCTTTGTGGCAAGCAGGCCCTGGCCACACAGCCCTCAAATTCTTGCTCTGTGCAGGAAGGCAGGCTCCCACTCAGTTGCATATTGAGCCCCAAATGAGGCTGTAACACACCTGCACTCTTTTTCAACTCATTGGCTCATGGGCCACAGAAGGACCCCATCTGCACTGGAGGCTGCCCACAGTGGTACTGTCCTACAGAGGGCTGCCACCTCCCTCCTGATGGTACTGACACCAGGGTGGGAGGAGGGTGTTTGGCAGCACACAGAGCTGACTCCAGCCCTGCGCTGCATTTAGCACAGCTCTTTAAGCACACACTCCAAGCACTGCATTTGGAAAGGGGTTGGAGGGATGAAACAGTTGTTAAATGGAGGAGGCAGAGTTTGAGCCTTAGCATCCTTGTTGGTATTGGAGACAGACGTGGTGTGAAAACTGAGACAGTCTCCTCTTCCAGCCTAGTAAGAGGAACCTGGGCTGTCCTAATAGATAAATCCAGTGAGAGGAAAACAATCATCACGGTTCACTGTGTCAGGTTAGGGAAAATTAGAAACAGATGTCTTCACAAAAAAATGCAAGTGATGAAAGACAATGAGATATTAAAACTTGTATATTATTTATCAGAAAAGTAAAAGGAGTCCTCTGTTTTAAAACATTTATCATCCTGTTTCTAATAGCCTGCATTATTTTCATTTTCCTCAAAGCCTTTTATGGTCACTGTTGTAATACCTACTGCTAAGACAAGACTTGAGAACCACAGGTATCTTTACTTCCAGCCAGTTCACTTGGTCATGTTTTCAACAGATGTTTTTGACCATTTGATCTTCCGACATCTCTGTTCAACTTTTATACAGTCTAAATGCTCCTTTTTATTTGTGTTGTGAAGGTTGCTGGGACAGGGATATGACACACACATGGCCCCCAACTCCAGCAACACAAAGCATCAAATAGTGACTGCAGAAAAGGAGATTATGTGTTAGGCATGTTATAACTGCATGCTGGCAGTGTGTAGGAGCACTAAGGGACCCAGGGCATAGCCTTGGTTCATTACTACTTCCTGTTTGGGCAGCTGGTTTGGTTTTGGTGAGGATAGTCACTGAGCTGCAAATTACATCAAGAATGAAACTGTTATCTTCATTTATGGCTATCTGCCACTTCCATGGACTGGAATGCAAGCTATGTATATAGGGTCAGCTTTGCTTTAGTTATGTCTTTACTGTGTTGCAAGGAGGAAGGGGAAACTATGCACCAGTGAATGCTTCTGTTGGCATTTGGTGTCACTAGCTATTGTTGTAAGTCACCAGCTTGTGCTTAAGTATCTTTTAATGTTCTGTTTCAGTGAAAAGCATTTCCAAGAGAAGCAAGGGAAAACACCTCAGACCCAATAACTCTTGTATGGCCTTTTGCTCTTGAGTGGTAGTTAAAAGACCACCATTTCAGGTCAAAGCACTAACTGCTTTGAAGCTTGTTTCTCGTCTTCTTTAGTTTTGTCATCTATATGGTCTGTCTAATGTGGGAAAATTTAGCTGTGATCTAATTTATGTTGGCCTCTGTGACCAGAGAGAAGAAAGTAATAGTCCTCTCTATCTGTAAGAAGTTCCATCTGCTTATTTCAAAACTACATTGCCTGCTCTGCATCATGTCAAACAGTAAAATGACCTTAATGCAGACACCCAGAGTAAACAGCTGGGCATGCTTCATGAGGCTGCTCGTGGCTGGCTCCAGCTCAGCACAGGCTGCAACGTGACTGCTGCTGCCACAGCCAGGATTCTTCCAGAAGGTCTTTCCTGGTGGACTTCTGCTGGCATTGTAGTGTGGCAGGATTGCTTTTCTTGCTGGTCTGGCCTTTTCCTGCCCTTTAGGTTGAAATGGAAGAGGTGCCTAAGATGGAATAAAGCGTATCTCCCTAATATAAATTTCAAGATGTACCACTGAGACATGATGCTGACCTGGCCTGTGATCATGGGATTTTTCTTGACCTTTTCCTCCTTCAGCTCACCCTGCTGTTCAGGCAAAATCCCAACAATATAGATCCCTTTTGCCATGCTGAGTCTTCTTTCTCCTTTCCAGATTTGTTATTCCTTCCTTGTCTCTGTGTTTACTGCATTCACAAACAGGCTCCATTTTATAACTAGAAAACCATTTTTAGAGTACAATCAAATCCTGTGGCTTTAACAGTAGTGAAGAAATGCATGGCAGAGGAGAATTAGATCTGCCATGTGTTTAGGCACATGTGGTTCAAAATATGCTTCAAAAGTGTATGTGGTGCTCACATGTTCTGTCTCTTTCCCGCGTATGTCTTACTGATGGATCAGATCCTGGATGAGGTTGAAAGGAGAAGGGGAATATCTGCTGCTCTGGTTTATCCATTTATGAGGAGTCTGATGGAATCTCCTTTTCCTGCACCTGGAAAAACAATCAAAGTCAAAACCTTTCTGCCTGGAGCTGGAAATGAGGTAAAAACCAACTGTAAATATCAAACAGCAAAATCAAAACAGGAGGAGACATGTGGATGCTGCAAGCCATGTGAGGTGGTACAACCTCCAAATGAGCCGTGCAGGAGCTGCACCACTGTTGCGTTTATTAATAACTTGTGTTTAAGAAAAAACCACAACACAAATGTCTTAGCATGCCTGGCCTGCTGTGGGTAACGAACTACAGTGTTGCAGGGCTTTATCACAGTGATAAAGTTGTTTCCCATGCTGACTGTACTTGAACAGTCCAGCAACTGGTTGTTATTGCAAACCTCATTACTGCTGGTCCTGGCCTTAGTAGGAGGAGTGACCAGCAGTGTTTAAATGGCTCTTTTTGGCAGTAAATATCCTTTAACTGGCCCTCAAAGAAATAGTCTGTATTTGGAAAAGCATATCACATAAAAGTTTTTTTGTGTGTGTGTGCACACATATATGAGATCTAATTTCCTTCTGTTACTCACTCAAGCAGCTAGAAGCCTAGCATTATACATATACTGGAAAGCTGCAATGTTGATGCCTTGCTTAAAAAGGTTTTTTGTAACTTGAGGCTTGCTAGCCATTTGCCATGTCAAATTCTGCTCACTGCATGTCCTTATGTAAGTATACAATAGCTCCACTCAGATGCGCAAGCATATAGAGGAAATTAATTACTGCAGATAGGAAAAGAATTTGGCCCAGTTAGTGCAAACAGGAAAAATTCCCCTCTAGGGTTATTTTACACTCCTTAGGGTTAGTTTTACAGCAATATTACTGTTTTTACATTGAGTCATATTTTCTCCAAGAGTAATGCCACAGACATCCATCGAGTGGGCCTGTAATGTCACTTAGTATGAAATGTAAAGGGGTCCTTGAATAAGTAAGTGTCTTGCAAGGCATGTTTATGTTTGCAAGCATTTTCTTCTGGAGAAGCAAAGGAAAACTGAAAGGCTGATTGACATGACAGTGATAAGATCTGACAATGCTGTCTTGATGTGAATATATCTGGGAACCATGGATCTGCAGCTTCTTTATCCTCGGCTCAAGCTTCTGAACTCTCCCAGAGAAAAACATTGAGATAATTCCAAACAAACAAACAACTCCCTTCAGTCTGAGCTTTGCTCTCTGTTATGCTAGTACAAACTTGTTATTTAAATGGAATGCACTGGCTTAATTAAGAACAGAATCTTGTCCTTCCATTGTGGCTCCTCTGGCCTAAACAAAGATGATGATTAATTGGGAAGTAGACAGTATATTTCTTTGTGATGAACAGACTGAAGCAGAGGCTTTGCCAGGCAACAGAAAACATCCATGGCATTTGTAAAAGCTGCTGTAACTTGCATTGCATCCTACCCTGCAGCGAGACTTTAGCGCTGGAATTTTTGCAGTAAAACCAGCTCCTCGTGATTTGGCACATAAATGTGATTCAAGCTTGCAATCCAAATGCTAAGGAATGGAAGTGGGCATCTTTACTGAATATGAGAAAGAGGTAGGCAGGCAGCATTCCTTGAGAAGGTAATCATGGAACACCATCACTCCACAGTTTGCTTCTTACTGCTGTTTGGGACAGCAGCTGAGTGATGGGTATCTAATACTCTGGCACCATAATATTTCTGTATTTCGAGCTTAAAAAAGTCAAATCTGTTCACAAATAAATACTGTTCTAACAGTGACTTTCTTTTTACAGTCCTGTGTTACTGATCACAAACAATAGTGCAAATAAACTGGTATGAACTGGTTTTGTTTCCAGTATGCTGTGGTTTTGATCATATCCTTAAAACAGTGTGTTTGTGAGGAATTTTGTAAGGACTACTCCAGTTTAAACTCAGCACAGTATGCTCATGGAATGTGGTGTCATGTGCCTGAAAACATAAAAGCAGTCTAAAGCAATAAAGTGACGGTACTTTTGGGACATATGGAAAGAAGGGAATGTATATATGTCCCTGTTAATATGTCTTCAGAGATTTCAACACAGCTTCAAGTTGGGCAACTTTTCTCTTTTCCCTTCTGTTTCCTCAGATTCCTCAGTAGTTCATCATTTGCTGTCTTGCACTTCATATTTTTCTCCCTCTGTTACCCTCTTCTTCATGGTTTTTTTTCCCCTCTTCTTTTTTCTGTCCTCTGCCTTCAAGTTCCACATCTGAGCATGTCAATTGCAGAGTAAAAGGAAGATATAATAAACGAATCAAGCAAAAGGCATTTGAGAAAAGGAAGGAGAGGGCCTGAGGTCATGGATGAAGTGTGAAAATTAGACTTTAAAGGGATGTCACAAGTCACCATCTAAGGCCTTGTCCTGACTCCCCAGTTAAGTATACATATGTACATATCTGTATGACAAAAAAAAGTTTTAAACATTATGTAGTGAATTATTCATCATAGAAGAGTGTAAATGAAGTAATTTGGGTTTAAAATTTGCCTGGTCACTAAATTCAGTCCGTGGCTGCTATCTGGATGTAAATTTGAGTTGCTAGCTAAGTTTATAACCAACCTACCTTGTCTTTATGGCTGTTTTCACCATGTAAGCTTCCAGTGTTCTCAGCTTGTTACTTGCTTCACACTGTTGACTCAGCCAAGCTTTACATCTCTGACAGGGGGCTTTCCTCAGAAATGACAGCAGATTTAATGTGCTCAACTCTATTCTGGGAAGAAGATTGACTTGACAGTGGATTGTGTAATATGCCATTTCTCTGGAGTGCTGTGCCTCCAGAAGAGGATGGGGGTTGTTCTCTGTGTCCCCCCAACAGGAAAGCACGGAGCAGTGCTGGAGGGCCCGGGCTGGGGTGCTTGTTGCCCTGGGGCTGTCAGCCCTGGCCAGTGATGCTGACTGATGTTTGTTGGATGTGTTCAGGTCATTGAGCTGCGGCGGCCCATGGACTCGCGCCTGGAGCACGTGGACTTTGAATGCCTTTTCAAGTGCCTCAGCGTTCGTCAGATCATCAGGATCTTTGCTTCTCTCCTGTTGGAGCGGCGTGTCATTTTTGTAGCAGATAAGCTCAGGTAAATTGCAAAGGGACGTGAACCACACTTTCAGGACAGTACTATCTCTGGATTCAAAAAGCGGTGCCCAGATGGTTGTCAGATGTGAGGATCCTCTCACTGGAGGATTTAAATGATTTTTACATCAATGGATGTTATTTGCATCAGGTGGGGCACATATTCACTAGCAGTCATCAACTACAAGCCACTTGTTCTGTCTTACTTTCCCATCTGTAAAATGGCAATAACAATACTCACCTGCTTCATAGTTAGCAAATGTTTGCACAGCGTTTTGAAGCAATGTAGTCCTAGCAATATTTTGTTTCAGGTTTTGGAGCAAAGTAATCATAAACAGTAGCAGAGATCGTCACTGAGGTGCTTCACCTTGTGGTCATGCAGTGCAGCCAGGCAGGGAAGTGGGGTACTGAAAGTTCACCTGGTTTGCTCCATGCAGTACAGAAAGTTTATGATGGGGACAGGCTTCAAATCCTGCACTACCAAACCTATCCAGTGAGTGTGTTAATAATACTATTATGGTCCATCCCAACTAGTTAGGATATTTTTCCTCATGTTCAAATGACCTGAAAACATTTCCTTCCCAAAGCTCTACCTTGGTCAACTTGCTACATCCTTTCAGTGTACCTCTTACTTCCTGGCCCTTTGATTGCAGTCTCCCCTTCTGAGGTCCCCTGAGGCATGAACTCACCCCAAGGTGTAGTGCAAGTGACAGGTCACAAATCCACATGGCCTTTACCAAGGAAATGGGAGTTCTGTGTAGGCTGCACTCCTGCCCTGCAGCAAAGGATCATCCCTGGTTTACATGCTTGCCTAATACATATAGAAAAGTGTGGACACTGTAAAGAAGATGTTATTTGTTGTGGCATGCTACGTAATAAAAGAGGGCAAATAAAAATAAAGACCCGAATTTATTAGACTCAAGAACATCAAGCATCTTTTAAAAAGACACAAAAGACTGTGTGGGTGGTTAAAAACTCATATGGATCTACCCAAACAAACTCTGTTAAACACTTTATCAGCCCCGACCTTCTCTGAATGACCGCCAGAAATAATAGCTGCACTTAATGGCCGCCAGTGTATATAGCAGCAAAAATACTTTGCATAGTAAAAGCTTTACAACCTTTAGGGGAAAATGTCTTAAAGCTGCAGACCCTTCTCAGGTTATAAAGTTACTTCCTTAGCAGTCGTCTTTGTTGTCTAGAACAACAGGAACATTTTATTTCATCTCGTCCCTTGTCAGTAACTCTTAGTTTGAATGACCATTTGGGATGACTTAATTTCACATAAACCTGTGGTGAGAATTGTGTAGCTGGTCCAGGGTTTCTGCAATACTTTACTAGATATGTGAGTCACACCACGAATATTGGGGCAGGTGGCTTTTGAAAATACTGTTGGCATGTTCCTTCTGATTCTTTTTCTACAACATGCTTCATTACATCGTTCTGTCTGTTTCTATTTTACTGCTCATTTAGCAGAATTAGTGGCACCCACCAGTCTGACTGTAACTCAAAATGACACAGGTCTGTGTTCCTTCACATGGCACAGTGATTCCAGTGGAAAATCACGGAAATGGTAGAGACAAAACGAGGACTGTGCTGTGCTGCTGCCAACCGTTGCTCTGTTTTGGAGTTCCCTGTTACTCTTTCGTAATGCTGGCCTGATTTGGCAAAGTACCCCAAGCCCAGATCTGTGGACTGCAGGCACAGTACTGCGGGGATGGGTTGCTGCAGGAGACATCCTCAGCTGAGGGCTGGGACAGAAAGCAGCCATTCCCAGAGTGTTTCTCTGGGACAGCTGGCCTAGCCAATGTCATGTAGCACTTCCAGGCACTGTTCAGAGAAAAGAAGCAACACTTAAACCTACTGTGACAGGCTTAAGGCAGCCTGGCTTGGAAAACAGTTATGTTGCTGATGTTGAGGGCTCGTAGTGACTCAGGGCTTCATCAGGCAACCAGGGTTTTATACACATTGCAAGCCTGACTGGAGCTAACAGCTCAGGCTTGTACATGCAAGCCTTATAGCTGCCTAGTCCTGCAGGCTTCAGAGCAGAGGATGACAAAGTCCTGCTTACAAGCAAAGCACTGCTGCTCTCCCTTTTGGCACACAAGAGGGAACAAGGACCAACAGGAACTAGAAGTGATAAAGATCCCTTTTGGTAAACACGTAGCTGAACATTGCTCTCTCTTGCAAAGCCTGTTCTCCAGTGAACTGTTGTTTCTATTGTGAGGGTAAGGCATCAAGTTATGGACCATTATGAAGTACACTGAGAAAGGAGAGGATTCGAACAGATCCAAGCAGCTTATGAGGTTTTGTGGTAGCTCCTGTAAGAAGGGACACAACCTTTTTTATAAAAAGGTTTATATTCATACACTTTATTATATCCACATGTACTCTTTATTATGTACATATAGTTTGTTTTCTTTCAAAAGTGTATGACAAAATCTACTGTGGTAGATAAGGCCCTGGATTAAGACTTGTGAACCCTGAGCTGTCCTCCTGAACCTCTCTGACCTGTTGTGTGATTCATGCTGGAAACATAGCACCTCTTTCTTATCTTCTGTCTGGTCTGTGTTGGATCTTAAATGCTGCAGGACAGAGACTATTTCTTGCTCTGTGTGTGTGCACACAGCTCGACTTGATACAGTGCGTCCCCTCTCAGCATGGGGATCCAGGAGGTACTGTAAAATAGAAACTAATAATGAGTCCTTTGACAAAGGCCTGGAGAAAGTGACAGTGGATTTAAGTTCAATACCTACTAAGGTTTTCATGGTTTAAGTGGGGATGAAGATTATAATGAAACACTCTGGCTTTGAGCTAATAACTGTCTGTCTTGGAACCTTTGCCTTGTCTGACATGAATTTTGTTTATGGGCATCATGGCTGAAACTGAAGGAGTTTACCAGTAATGTGGAATAAAAAAAGTAGTGAAATATCTTACAGGTCCAGTCTGTGGGCCCAAAGAATGAAAGCAGGAAATTAAAAAGATTTTACAAGGGTTTGATTTCTGCATGTACCCAAAAAATAGCTTAGAAATAAATGACGTTGAGGTTTAGGCTTCAAACAATAAGATGCAATGGGCTCTTGTGGCTGCCTGTTTAACAGGTCTCCAAGCAATAAATGATTTCACACCTTATACAAGTTGGGGAAAGCCATGCCTACTGAAGTGAGACTCATTCAATAAATTGTTATTTATAGTTCTTACAGTGCCCAGAATGTGAAAATTTATAGTCCTTGATCTTTGTGCAGAAGAAAAAGAAAATGATCACAGAAAGAAATGAGGAAGCAATAGTGAAGTTTTGAATGACAGGACACTGAGGTTGCCTTGGTTAGATATGTGCAGTTAGGTTTGGGGTTTTTTTCACAATATGTTGTTTATATTCTTCTTTCTGCTTGAAATTGGGGGAATGAATCCCTGCGGTTATTTGCTTACCTTTAAAAATGAGTCTGAATCTGCGTGTGACCTTTTAGTATTTTGTTTTCCACGAACAGTCAAGAAGAAAACAGACAAACCAAAATAACGATAGAGAAACTTGGAAGAATAATAACTCAGAGAAAGGTAACATAAAGCTCCAATTCCTCGAACATCTGCTGAAAGCACAACTGAGGTGGTACGTGCACTCCCAGTTCCAATCCCTGTCCCAGCTGGGAGCCCCTGTCGGTGTTCTCACCGTTCTGTCTGTTCACCCCAACTCCAAAGAAACCCCACGACTGCCAGCTGCAAAGGGAGAGCTGGTGTAGCTCAGTCCCCTGGGGTTTGGAAGGCTAGGCAGTAGATGCAAATTCAGGGGGTTCTGGGGCTCAGGGAACACTGGCGTTGCTGCAGGCACAGAGGTAGCAACAGAAAGTAAATAGAAAGCAAACACTGGAAGAAAAATATTTCTCTGCTTGTTTTAGTTTTATGCTGGGGACAGGCTTGCTGCGAGGTATACATCCTTGTGTGTGGGAATAGTCTCTTTGCCTTTTCCCCTGTTTGGAGAGGGGGAAAGGAAGGACTTGGGCATGTCAATGACCCTTTGTTGTAACACCATTTTTTATAAATAACCCCCACTTTTGCTGTAATCTAGTATATTGTGAAGGACTCTGAGCATATTTTGCTTACATTTCACATAGAGGTCTAGTCCAACACCAGCCAGAGTCAGGGCGAATGTTTAAATGAGGCTCATCTTTTGCTGTGGATCTAAATCCTAGAATGTTCCTTTCAGTGGTCTTTATGAAGCTTTAGGTGCTGTGAAAAGCTTCCTTGTTCTTTTAAAAGACAAAGTAACTTTCCATTGTTGTGAATTTTGGTTTTATATGAGATACTTCAGCTACTTCTCAGTGAAGAAGGAGCCTCAAGGAAAAAATCTCTGTTGACAGAAATGGGTTTTATGCTCCTAAACCATACAGGTGAACTTGGAAACACAGCCCAAGGTGAAGGTGTGCCAGGTGTGTCTTGAAGTGGCAGTGCCAGCCCAGGAGGTGCCCCTTCCTTCTCCCCTTGCCTGCTCCTGCCCTGCACCATGCTTTCCCTTTCTCAGGAGGCTCTGCCAGCCCAGATGCAGTAGGAATACTGTAGTTTCTCCAAATTGGGCCCCTTGGCCAGGTCCCACCAGGAGTTCCTGTGCTGGGAGAGGGGCAGAGCAGGGGGCTAGGGGTGGGCAGGAGCATTGGGATGGGCACACTTCAGGATGGTGTTGCCACTGATGTTTATCGTGCACCATCCTTAGCTGTGAGCTAGATGGATTTGAAGTATCTTACAAGATATTGTAAATTCGTGAATAAACCCACCACAAATTTTTACCTGTGTGCAAGGGAGATCTGAGGGAATGAAGCTGAGGCAATGTTGGGTGAGCGTGAACATCAGTGCAGCTACAGCTCCTGCATGTTTCTCTGCCCCTCCACCAGCACACATCTCCTGGCCCAACATGGACCAGCAGTCTGTCACCTGGTGTGTGCAGGGTCCCCGAAATCTGCAGCGCTCACCCCAGGACTTCAAGAGAGGTGCTGTTGCAAGCAGAAGAGCAGA